AGAGAGAGAGAGAGAGAGGGACTGGAGAATAAGAAAAATGAATAATATCAGTCTAACTTTTCCTGATTTCCATAGCTTAAGGTCTGTTAAATGAATATAAAGTTAATGGATGCCATTGTGTTTCCCAGTGACTTAGGAGAGGCTTCACTGAAAATCATTGGCGTCACTGCAGAAGACGATGGTATCTATACATGTATAGCTGCAAACGATATGGGTTCGGTTTCATCTTCCGCCAGTCTACGAGTTTTAGGTAGGCCTGTCTCTTTGATTATTTTTATTTTCTAATCTAACTGCATTCAAAGTGTCTGGTACCCATAGTACAGGAAAAAGAAAACTCCAACTCTTGGGCATTCCTCTGTTAAAGGAGTATTATAACAAACCTTTTCACTTGTGATGTATGACTTGTTTCCACAGGCATAGTTCACTTCTAGGATGTAACTAATCAGAGGTTCATACAGACAAGATGCCTAGACAGTGCTGTAATTGTGCATTTACCCTGTCTGTCAATACTAGTTCAAACATACTATGATAAAATCATATTCCGTCATCTGCATTCTTAATTTAGTCTCAATGAATGTTTCTCAGCTAACACGTATAATTTCTAAAGCGTACCGATAATAAAAGAGTAGCATTGATCTGTGTTTTAATATGCATCTTTGCTTGACTTGTAAAGCCACAGTGTTTAGGAGATACAACTATTTCTTGTCTTTGCATCATGGATCTACACTTAAGTTACATTATTTCAATACCTGAAGTGAGGGGCCACCTGAATGCTTGTGAGAGAATGAAAAAGAAACCTGCAAAGATGAAAATGCCTGTATTTTGGAGGCAGACAGCAAAGGAAAAAAAAAAAGTGTTTTACTTGATGTGTTTGATGGCATAGCTTCAGTTTGCTGTTTGTGCAGTCAGTTATTCTTCTCTTAAGTGGTCAAGATCCTCCATTTTTAGAAATAGAGAAACCCAGTGAGACAGCAGGATAGTAGGCTTTCTTACATGCAGTTTATAACAATTGATGCTATCTGGGTCCTTTAATCTGTTGAGAAGCAGATTAGCCTCTCATTTTCAATTCTCACTCCATTGGTAAGAATTGATTAATAGATTTTAGGTGGAATGGCTTATCTCAAATTGACTCATGTAAAAGAAAGTAAGATATGAAGTGCTGCATTCTGTCTTTGTACATCTGTCCCAGCTGATATGAGGACTTGTACGGTTGTCCTGAACTTCTCCAAAATATGTTTTCTTCCCTTTTTTCTAAAAACTTTGCCATTTTCCTGGAATGTTGAAACCAGTCTGTGAAATATGATGTCCCTTCTAAAACCTCATCTGAAATTTTGGGGGGTTTATAATCAGTGCTGCCACTTCGAGCTCTGCCTGTTAGCAGCCACAGTCAGTGCCTTACTGCCAACATATTGAGGTGGTGATTATTCCCAGTGCTGCCTGCCCACTGACCCATGACAGCCTGTAGTTAAGCCCTAGGATGGGTGTGTTGCAATATATAAAAGAGGCAGAAAATAAAATTTAACCCTTTACACTATTGTTTCCTGAAAAACAGAGCTTTTTTTTCCAGTAACTGCTACACTATCTGATCACCTTTTTTTTTTTTTACCCCAGTGGCAGGTAAATTGTTGATAATGAGACATAATGTAAGATACCTATTCTTTTTGCTGTTTCCTTCAACTCACCAAGGTTACGCATTCCTGTACAGACAGTTCCCACTGCACCTGAATTAGTTCCACTGTAGAATTTGTTCTGCTGCATTGGCCAGGCTGCTTTGGTGTGTAATCCAGTTTGTCTTGCTGCCACCCTGTGTCATATGGGAATTAACAGGATGGGATGATTCCACTGATGGTATCTCAGCCAAGGAAACTTTCTAGTCAGGGGAGTAAAAAGCTCTTGATGGACAAGGATCAATGTGAAACTGTGCGCTTTGAGGAACTAGTGTAATGAGTTTCCTTCCTACACCAGTACAGAAGCCCAAAACTGTGATTTGGCCAGAATCAGAGTCACAGAAGTCTTGTAGACTGAACTACTGTCTTTCAGCCACAGTCCTTGGTCTTACTGACCTTGTCCAAAAGTGTCCAAAAGCATTCACTTTTCAATCACAACTAAACCAGAATTTGGTATGTCATGTGCAGTTACTCTGCAACTAGACTCCAGAAGACAGGCAGCTGTATTTCCCTAGCCCTTCTACTCAGCTCTACTAATACTTTTGTAAAAAAGTTCTGGCTCCTGTTTTTCTGGGCCCATCCTACTCTTAATTTCCCTGGTCCATAAGAGCAAGATGAAAACTCTAAGGCTGTAGCACAAAGTAAGGTTTTAACATCAATCTATGAAGTCTTTTTCAGTCCTTTGGACTTGAAGGACTTGCCATTTGATTGTGGTCAATTCTTGTGCATTATCTGGTGCAAAGATTAAAGAATACTCTTTGCCTTCTGTTGCTGCAGTAGTTTTTACAGGCCATCAATAAAGTAGTTGATTACAGAAATAACTTTCTTTCTGAGCTGCAAGTGGATGGGCAATATGAGGCCATGATTTGCTTTTCAATATGAACACATTCAGCTTCAAACAGAAGACAACAGGGGCCCTTCTGACTGAGGCACTTTCTTCCTGAAAAATCTGTTCCTAAACTGAATATGAAGTCCAAATGTTTCTCCTTTTGCAAACATATAAACAGTCCATTGGTTATAACGACAACAGTTTAGTTCTGAGGAGGATCTGACTATATTAAATTTTGGCCATACTGTCGTTCTCTTTTTTTTGTAGGTCCTGGAAGTGATGGGATCATGGTAATCTGGAAGGACAACTTTGATTCCCTCTACAGTGAAGTGGCTGAGCTTGGCAGGTGCGTTCTATAGTTCTATATGCTGATCTCCAAAGTTGTCTATGTCAAAATATGAACTTCTCTTTCAAAAAACGAAATTGTCTTTAAAAAATACTTATCATATGAGCCTAAAAGGCCAGAATTACGTTGGATTAAATAGAAATGTGGAAGCGAAAATCTTACCAGCACTAGATGGCACTACATAAACAGAACGTATTTAGACTGAAGTGGTATCGTAGATTAAGGGATTTTATTTTTTTTTTTTTAAGCATGCCTTACAGTGACTGACACTGCTTCTGTAGTGAAGCTCTCCTAAACTTTTTTATTTAGAGATGAAAATTACAGGCAAAGAAAGTGTGAAAATGGGCAAAATAAGTCACGTAGAACATACATTTGTCCAACTTACTGATGATTTTTGAAAGCTGGACACTATTCTGACTTGAATTGTCTGTAAATGCAGTAAAACAGATCTTTATCAGGAGCTAATTATTTATACAGACACATTTTGTAGACAATGCATGCACTGAAAACTCTTCTTTATGTCCAGACACTGCTCTGTAAGTGTAGCTTATTAGAAATCTAAAATTAGATCTCTCTCAGGATATCTTTCAAGGTAAATGTATGTCCTTAGTGCATCTCTCAGTTAATTCTTTCCTTTCAATATTGTATTCCAGGGGCAGATTTTCTGTCGTTAAGAAGTGCGACCAGAAGGGAACCAAGCGAGCAGTAGCCACTAAGTTTGTGAATAAGAAGTTGATGAAGCGAGACCAGGTTACCCATGAACTTGGAGTCATGCAGAATCTCCAGCATCCCCAGCTCATTGGCCTTCTCGATACCTTTGAGACCTCCACCAACTACATACTAGTGTTAGAAATGTGTGTGGACTCTAACATTATCTGTAAAATGCAATTTCTACAGCTGACTTTCAGGGGCATTTATAGTGGTTTATGAATAAGGAAATTTAAGATTTCATAGAAGTTTGAAAACACCTAAGTAAACTATTGCAGGTGTCTAATGCTGTTATTAAAATGTTGAGTTTAATACTCAGAAGGAAACAAGTTGAGATATTAAACTGATACGTGGATTGCTATCATAGTCTGAAGGTCCAGGAATTATTTTATGTCAAGTTGTTGCACAAGTGAATTATGAATGTTGTGATCTGATAGCTCAATATCAAATCTCCTCCATACCCTACTCCTCTGTCTTCTAGGTGCCACAGGCAACAGTTATTCCTGTAGTCTATGGCCTGTTAAGTTTTTCTTTCAGTTCTGATGTATGGATACAAAAATATAACCCTTGTAAAATATAACCCTTGTAATTCCAATAGGGCTGACCAGGGTCGCCTTCTAGACTATGTCGTGCGATGGGGAAACCTCACGGAAGGGAAGATCAGACTCTACCTGGGAGAGATTCTGGAAGCTGTGCAGTATCTTCACAACTGCAGGATAGCACATTTGGACCTAAAGGTGAGGAGTGAATGGTATTCCTGGCAGTGTGTGCCATTCCAGGCATAAAAAAATCCCTTTTCTAGGAAACTGACAGCTAGAAACATAGAACTGTGAATTGCTTTGAGGCTGTATGAAGGGTATGGGTCAGGGCTCCATCTCCAAATGCTTTAGATCACTCATAGCCAGCAAAGCAGAAAAATTGGAATTCCCTATGCTTTCTCCTTAAAGCTTCCTGATCCTGTGTGGTCCTTTGTGCTGGAAATAATTGCTGTCAGGAACAGTTTTGTTTGATTTTTATTTATTCATTTATTTATTTACTTTCTGAGATCCATTTCTTTCTCAAGAAGTGTAGAATTTGTTGTGAGAGAGACTACTTTTCTTCTGTTCCTGCAAATCTGTTTCTCATCTTTGCACTCTGAGGGCTGTGATATCTATGTGAATGGTACCTCTTTGGGCCTCTGTTCTACCCCTTGAATTTTACTTGAGCCACAAGGATTTGATGCATTCTAGTAGCAAAAACTATATAAGAAGGTCTTAATGTGAATATTAATTAAAAACTTATGCTGTTTTTTTAGTACCTGTTTTTGAATAATGAGGAATTTCAGCATTGACAAGTCACCTTGTAGGCAGGGTCTCTTTAGCCAAAAAGGGTCATGATGAGAAAAAGCAAAAAGAGCTTGCATCTTCCCTCTGCATACTTCTGTTTTCCAAGCAGAACCAGTCTGGTCTGCATATCATTTAATTTTCTCTAGTGCTATATGGAGTTCACCAGTACTTTTTCCAGTCTCAGGGTACATACAGATGAATTAATTAAAAACTAGTTGTAGGTAAGTCACTCTTACTTTTGCTAAGATCACCACTACAGTAGCAGTAGCTTCAGAAATAAAACCATAAAAATAATTCCACTTTCAGCTCACCAATAGTGGGGCAGATCTCTTGAAGCCATGTGAATCCAACAGGCTCTTCTGCTGCCATAGTCTCATGACAGTGCCTGACTTCCATCTATACAGCCACTTCCCTTAAAGAATGACCAAGTAAAGCAAAGTTCTGTTGAAAGCAGCATGAAAATTCTGACCAGGTCTTCCAATATTTAAATGCAAGGGTTTTATTGTCTCTCTGTCATAAAGCAAATAGAGAAGTTGTTTTATTCACTCTCTATTTGTAATTACTGTTCTGTAAGCTTAAGTTCCCAAACACAGGTTCCTGTGAAATTTTTCAGAGCTGCTGTTGCAAACATCTGCAGTATTATCTGGCAGCACTATGTTTCCTGCAAAAGTTACAGTGCCAGGGGCTAAAACACATTCGTTGCATACTGTAGTTGGCAAGAAACTGCCTGCTGGTGGGTCTGGGAGAAGCCATGGTAGGACTGCCTAGGAGCTTTGCAGAGCTGGCCTCCAGCAGCAATCCTTGTAGCTTGCAGCTGTTTGTTACGTTCTTGAGCTGACAGCACCGGCTGGGAAACAGAAACGTTAGAGCATTAAATGTTTGTTAGACTCACTTGAAAAACAACATTTTAACTTTTGCTTTTATGTTTTCTAGCCTGAAAATATTTTGGTGGACCAGAGTTCCACCAAGCCAACAATAAAACTGGCTGACTTTGGAGACGCAGTCCAGCTCAATACCACGTATTATATCCACCAGTTACTTGGAAACCCAGAGTTTGCAGCTCCTGAAATTATTCTTGGAAATCCTGTTTCCCTCACTTCAGATGTTTGGAGCATTGGAGTGCTCACATATGTCCTTCTTAGTGGCGTCTCTCCTTTCCTGGATGAAAGCGTAGAGGAAACTTGCCTGAATATTTGCCGCTTAGACTTTAGTTTCCCAGATGACTACTTCAAAGGAGTTAGCCAGAAGGCCAAAGATTTTGTATGCTTCCTACTTCAGGATGACCCAGCTAAGCGTCCCTCGGCTGCACTGGCCCTCCAGGAGCAATGGCTGCAGCTGGGGAATAGCAAAAGTGCTGACAGCATCGACATATCCAGACTGACTTCGTTCATTGAGCGGCGAAAACACCAGAATGATGTTCGACCCATCCGTAGCATTAAAAACTTCTTACAGAGCAGGCTCTTGCCAAGAGTTTGACCTTGCTTGAAGTTCTCTCTCATTCTCTTTCACCTGCCAATCCGACTGGAGATGGACTCCTCCTGCCGATCAATCAGACTGGAGATAGACTCCTCCTGCCAATCAATCAGACTGGAGATAGACTCCTCTTGCCAATCAGCTGTTGACTTGAATTTTGAGGAAAGCAAACCCCGAGCCAACCACCTGCTAGCGAATGTTCCTGCGCAAACGCGTTCCGGGGGGACCTGTGCGGGGTGGCGCGGGGGACTGGCGATGCAGACTTCACTGGGGTGGAGGACGATAGCACTGTACTCTGCAAAAAGCAGTCACGAGCGATACAGTAACAGTATTTTATTCAGGTTTCTGCAAAAAAAAAAAAAATAGTTTTTTTAATAAACAAGAGTTGAATTTTGCAAGTGAACTTAACTACCGTTTTCAAGATTTATTCAAGGAAGAAATGCCTATGTTCAAAGCACTGGTGTTAAACAAAAATGATATCATGCCTGGAGAAGACTCACCAAAACGGCTGCCCGTTGATACGGCCTCCATTTATAACATCTGGTTTTCACTTGGTCCTAGAGCTTTCCAGTTGCCTCGCCTGTATGTATCTCACGTAGCAGTGCACTGAGATCAGACTCTGCTTTTAAGTGCATCCAACCTCAAAAGTTTTTGCATACAAATAGAATGAATCGTTTTGCTCTGATAAAATGTAGGCCTTACTTGTATATAGACTGTTACCTGCCTTCAGTCTGTAATTTTTTTTTTTTTTCCTCCCCTCCCCTAATCCTTTTCCCCCCCTCCTTCCTAAATGGTGGTATACCACTGTGCGGGTCTTCAGTTTGGGTCAGTACTCACTGTCCCCTTAGAAAAGGACTTTGGGTTGGTGCCCAGCTTGCCGACCTGATTGTCAAGCAGTATACAGCAGGATGAAATACTGTAAATGCACTCATTTGGGATTTTGTTTTCTTTCATATCATGTGCAATGTTGTGGCTTTAACATTTTATGCAACTATTTATGAGGACCTCTGTTGTAACTGTAATAAATATATAGAAAAAGCACATACTTAGTACGGCGAGCTTTATGGTTTTGTTTGTGTGTTTGGGGTTTCTGGGTGGGCAGGGGCGGGTGTGTTGTACCACACTGTCATCATTAGTTTAAGATGAGGGTTAGCATAGAATTTAGTCAAGACTAGTCGGTTTTAAGGATTGTTCAAAAAAAAAAAAAAAAAAAGGTTTGTATCCCAAATCTCAAACTGGTTAAGAAGTAGGGTGACACTTTTTAAAATTTATTATTATATTCAAAATGCCAAAGTCTGACTTTCCCAAAAGCAGTCTCAACACTTACTACTTTTTAGAATTTTCAGATCTGTGTTTACTTCTTTCTGTGAAATGAACAAATGAATTTTGTGCTCTTTGGTGAAGAATACATTCAGAAAGTAGAGGTCAGATGAGGAGACTCTGACACGTAATGTAATTGTCTTAGTAACTGTTTTTAAGGTTGAAGTAATATTAACGTGAGCTATTTAAAAAAAAAAAAAACAGAGATGATTTTCTGTACATCACTGAGTTCATATGGGTGTGTTGTCATCTATGTTTGTGTGAAATGCCATGTTTAAAGAAACCAAGCCGACATCCCACAATAGTTAGATATATGGGTCTTAAGCCATAACCTAGCTTGGGTTAGTTTTGAGCTTTGTGGCTTCCACTGTATTCTATTTATTCCTTTTTTTTTGTTTTTTGGGTTTTTTTGTAAAGTTGTACAGAAACTTTTTAAAAGAAAACAACTGACTTCAAAACTGGATGTGTATTCGTACCAACCTCATATCATTATGTTTGTGTATTATTTTCCTTTATTGTTTTAGTTAAATTTTTGCTTTATTTTGCATGTATATTTCTTTGTACAGTGACGTTACATGTTTACACAGTATGACGTGATGTAAATATTTTATTTTGCCATCAGTTATTTTGAAAAAAAATTAAACATATTTGACATATTTGTCTGATCTCTTGCTTTAAGGAGTTTGAAAGTTTAGGTTTCGTTATATTTTAATTGGGCTCTGTATTTAAAAAGGAAAAAAAAAGTACGTTATTTTATTGCCATAAAATTCATTTTAAATTGCAGTGATGTATCTTTCTTTCATGCCTTACAAAATAATATTTGCCTTTGCTCTAAGTGATGAGTGCTTTGTAGTGTCATGATTGCTTTCATATAAAACGTGTAAATCTCTAACTGTGGAAATTCTTTACAGTCTTTATTAACTAGTAAATTTTGACCAGCAGAGTTTTCTACCAGGTGTTCCCAGTTGAAGACCAAAGGATCATATTTCAGTTTAATATTAAACTGGGGAACAGCTTTCCCACATTATGAAGAAAAATTACTTTCAACTGTAAAGACTTGGGTTTTGCAGCTAAACTCTGTTTGCATCCTATAAGGGTGATGAAGCAGGAAAGTTTTTCATTGTGTACATGTATCTCTCTCCCTTTTCTGCTATTAATCCATTTGCAATTCAAAATGAAGTGCAAGTCAGGGAACAATACAGAGTGTTTATGCTTGTCACTGCATTGTATACATGATTTTTTTTTCCCCACTCTTCTTTCCACTATTAACTGTCAAGTGATGAAACGGTCCCTTTATTCCTCACAATTTACTACTAAGAGCGACAATTGAGAGAGACATTTTATATTGAGAGAGACAGGGCATATTCGGGAAGGATGTACTGCCAGGGATGAGCCAGTGGAAGCTCTTTGCGTGACCAGGAAATAGATGGCAACATGCTCCAAGGAATGTGTCTTTGAGTTCTCTAAAATACTTTTTCTTGACTGAAGATATACTAAACTGGGGAGAAGTTACCCAAATGCTATACAGAGAAATAACGCACGTGTGAGTGTTTTAAGTAGCAGCGATATGTTCTTCCACTCATATGTAAAGTGCCCTGTTTCTGACCCATTCTGTGAGCCCCAATACTCAGGAAACGTAGCATTTTTTGACAGATAGGAGTTTTGCACTAAAACCTGCTGTTTGGTGCAAGAGCTTCCAGCTGAAGAAAGCATGAATGATGGGTTCCTCGACTTCGATGTCTCTTCAAAGCATTTGAAGAAATATCAATAGTGTGTGTGTAAGGTCCTTTTGCTTTGCTATATTTTGTAGTTGGGGTTGCAAATGCAGCTTGGACTCAGTTGGGTGCAGTTCTCATTGCCTCTGCTGCACACAACGAACCAGCACCACAGGCCGACAGAGTGGAAACCAAAAGCATGGGTGAGGGCAGCTGGTGTGAGATCTCCGATGTGGGAACGTAGAGCATAGGGAATGGCAGTCAGTATCAACAGCAGAAAGGGGGAAAAACAACCAGAGAGGTTCAAGAGAAGGATGTGTCTAAATGTTTCTTTTTGATAACATACCTTGATCGCTTCTTACTGGTAGTTTAGGAAGAAGAGAAAAGGCTGCCAGACTTTAAAGTCAGTGCATGTGTCATGCAGTACTTTTCAAGCAGGGTTTGGGAGCACAGGAGTTCTCCATTGCACGTTTGATGAACACAGCTTAACTTAAAAAACACTGTGCAGCTGCTAAGCAGAAAACCTGGCTAGATACTATTTCCATGTTCAGGGACAAGGCGTAACGCGTACCAGCCTGTGCTCATGAGGAGTAGGACAGGAAAGCCTGGTTTTCTCTTATGTGAGTATAGAGGTCACTTAACCATAAGTCATCCTCATTCTCAGATACGAAATAGAATAGAATAGAACAGAATTATTTTTTTCTTTCTCCAAAGCCAAAAGCATGTTCAGGCCAGGACAAAATAGAGATCTTCGAGAATGACCCAGCAAAAGCATCTGGCTTCCTGAAAAGATTTCAGTACCTGGGCAAACGTGATTGGTAGTAGAAGATGCCTGAAATGGGATGTTCTTTGCGTGTAACGTGCTGCATGATGTTGTTAGGAAACATTAAAACCCCACTGCTGAGGGAGTCAGTGAAGGACTCCAAGGGGAAAACTAATGGCTGACTTGAGGTGAAGCCCCATGGTTCCCAAAATCTTAGAGAAATGAAGACAGGAATATACTTAACCAGCGGCTATGGGTAGTGAAATCTGTGAGCAGCTGGCATTTGGTGAAGTGTTTGGACAGCCAATCTTTGCTGCCAACAACAGCGTATTTGTGTGCTAGAGATTAAGGCAGGGAGTGTTACCGTGTCTGCTCCAGTCTAGAAGATGAGCTAAGCTTTATATACCCTTTCAATGTGTGTATAGACTCAGTGTGGATGTGTTCCTAACTTCTCTGCTGTAGGGATTCAGCTACATGTGGAGGAGGTAGAACCAGATAAGACTGAATTTCTTTGTTTAAACCAACTCCGGGTATTGCGGTGTTTTTGTCAGAACCGAGTGTGGATGTGTTCCTAACTTCTCTGCTGTAAGGATTCAGCTACATGTGGAGGTAGGTAGAACCAGATAAGACTGAATTTCTTTTTTTAAACCAACTCCAGGTATTGCGGTGTTTTTGTCAGAACCACTGCTTTTATCCCTCAGGCACATAACTTCTGATTTTTTTCTCCTGAAATTAAATCTTGGTGGATGTTATATTAGAAAGTAACAGATAGATTTTTGCATCTGTAGAGGGTGTACTTCCAGTACTTTTTGCACATTCACATCTACCCAAGCAGTCAAGACAAAAGGCTTTTTCTGTGTGCACTATAATGCAAGAGCACGATGATCTCTTATCACTGCAAAGGAGCTGATGCCCACTGTTCTCTTTCTGGCAAGTGAAGACACATACCCAGCACCACAGGCTTCGCATGCCTGGTGGTAACCTCAGTGTTTCCCAAGTAGATGCACTCACTGGTCCCCTGTGTCATACCATAACACCAAGCATCAATACTAGAATGAGATCTCCCATTTCACTGACCTGCCGCAGGGACTGAGAGTCTGATGTGCAGGAACAGGAAAACATACTGCTCTCATCATGTATTTGTCCTCAAAACAGGAACATTTCTCATCTCCCCAAATTCATTCACCTTAGCCCTACCTAGAAAGCTTCAGGGGAATGGGAGTGTGGAGGGACAGTTGGAGTTATTGAGGAGAGCAGTCAGATCTCCTGTTCCCCTGGTAATGTCAGGAGAGCCAGCACCAAG